CTCTTCTCCCCATCCTCCTCCTCCACACATCCAACTTCCACATTCCTTCATTGCTGAAATTAATTGCACAATTTAACAAAACATCTAAAAAAGTACAGAATTTTTCTAAAAAATAAAAAGGGAAGTTTGAAAAGGGACCAGAGAGTTAGAAGAAGGGGTGGGGGAGAAGAGTGTGAGGAAGTAGAGGGGCTCACGCATTTTCCTGGGGCATTCAACGGAGCAGGAACGAAGACAACAGGTCATGGCTGGGAATCTGCTTGGGCAGAATGGTATTCGGGACTGCACTGGCTGGGATGCATGGGCAGGTGTGCAGCTGTGTGGAATTGTCAGCTGGTGAAGGAACAGCTGGGTTGGATAGAGTGGTGTGCAGAAGGAAGTTATAAAGGGGAAGCAGAGGAAGGGAGCGGGGAGGAGAGGGACCGAGGGAGATGGAGGAGGGGGACCAAGGAAGAGAAGTGCATGTAGATTGTGACGGGCTGGCTTTGCCACCACTCACAGACAGCCAGATAAGATCAGTGAGTGGAAACCCTGCAACCAAGACACACAGCTCCCCGTTGCTGATGCCACTCATTGCCATAGATAAGGCAAGGAGCAAGGGCTGGAGGAAGGGCTGGAGTAGGTGAGGGCTTTGGTGCTTGGGGCAGCACAGCCATGAAAGAAGTTGTAAGATGGCAATAAGTAGGCCTGGTGAAGGAACTGGCTTCCTCATGCGATTTGCAATGGAAGTAAGGGAACAAGGGGTCTTTGGTGTGCCCCTCCCTCCTAATACAGTCACACAAGCAGAGATCGTGGGCTGGACATCAGGGTGGACACAGGTCATTCACCCCACCCCACCCCAGCTGACTTCCGGATGGCTTGAGCAGCTGCTGCTCCAGGCCCAGGAGCATCAGCACCTGTTGCAGCAATTAGCTGTGCAACAGACACGACTCATGGAACAAGTCTCCAGTGCACAGCTCCAGAATCAGTTTCTTGTTCCAGCAAATGCTGGGAGGACTGCAAGGTCCTCAAGCCAAGACCATAGTAGAGGAGGCAGGAAGAAAAGGCCCAGGCCATATTTGGATCTCTCAGATGACTGCAGAAGATGACCCTGAAGCCTTTTTAAATACATTTGAAAGGGTCACCCTGGCCACCAAGAGGCTCAAAGACCAGTGGACCCTCATCCTGACTCCTTGTCTCATGGATCCTGCCCAAGAAGCAGTGGACATGCTTACCCTGGAAGCCACAAGCCAATATGATTTAGAGAAAGTGGCCATCCTGGGTATCTTTAATGTCTCCAGAGAGACCTACAGGTGGCAGATGAGAGGGGTGGTGTATGCGACTGGCATGTCCCCCTCCAGCTTCCTCATGTGTTTTACAATGGAAGTAAGGAAACAAGGTATCATTAGCATGCCCCTCCCTCCTAATACAGTCACCTACAGAGAGAGCAAAAAAGAGGGGGGGAAACAGAAAAAATAGTGCAAAAAATAAAATCAGTTAATCAACCTTCTATGATATTATTCTTGTTAGCAATGCACTATTTTGATTAAAATATTAGTTGAGATTAGTTTGTTAGAAGAAAGACTTCCATATAATGGAACTGTAGCATCTACTTATTCCAACAATTGGCATTGATGGTCTTCAGATCAGTTGATAGCTGTGTAAGTTCTTTTATTAAATAACAACATTGTTCAATCATTGCTTTCACAGCAGGGGGCCTCAGCCTCCCCTTCTCTCGAGGTTCAGTAGGTGACGCTGACCTCCAACTCACTTTATCACTGCCTCAAGGCTTTATTCTCATAAAGTCAAAACCAATGGATATCAGAGATCAAAAAGATTGCACCTCCCATCCCAGCTCAAATCATAGCCCTAGAAAGATATAATTGTCTTTGAAAAGAAGTCATATATCAGTCAAGTATCAGCAACAAGGAGTCTCTCAATTCTCGCAAGCAGCCACTGTCACCATTGCTCATGTAGCATTGGTGAAAAAGAGAGACCATCTCCTCTGACACACTGACACCTCAAGTCACAGCTGGTTGGTAGTGTCCGTAATTAATTTCTTGAGTGATATAAAAGAGTTTGCAAAATAAAATTCCATTACAAGTCAAATGAGGTATTGAAAATATCTGTTTCAAAGGCTTTTCCAAACATACAGACAAGAATGTCTTGGGAAAAAAAATATCTCAACCTCAAGTCTAAGTTGCCCAGGAAAAGCAAATATCCTTCAATTGAAAAGCCACAGAATGAACATAAATATACTCCCAGCTAGTATTCTCATGCCAAGGTCAGTTAACTTTTCAATTCTTAGTTCTAAAACAGAAACTTTAAACAACTTAAATGTAAAACTTCATTAATCATCCGATTGACCATTCCAGAGACCCTTTAAAGTATGCAGAAAAAAATGCGTTAAAAATCTAAACTGCAGCAGGTTAAAATATTATTGGTCCTTTAGCAAAAGCAGAAAGACAATACAAAACAGAATAATAATAAGGAAAAAAAAAGAAGAAGAAAGAAGAACAAAAGAGAAAGTATATATGGGTGGGCAGACTCTAAGCTCATTAGAATTTACCTATATCTTGCCTCTGGATGATATCAGGGCAGTAAACACAAAGCCTTTATGCCCAGCTTTCAGTTAGAGAGGAAAAAAAACTCTCAGGAGGTAATTTATTACCTTCCATTGGAAAGAGCATCATCAAGCTGCTGCTATTCGAGTCTCCATTCCCCCGGAAGTCCAGCAAATTGTAATTCTGAAAGTTCTTTGGGGCAAGCCATAATCCAAAATCAGCATATGTTTGGTTATTGTTTTCTAAATTCCAACTTAACATTTTAACAAAATTATCATTATGCTATTCAGATAAAGTATAATATATACCATATAGAACTGGACAAAAAGTAAAAGGCAAAGTATTATGCTTTATAAAAGACATACTAATTCTAGAGTTCAGTATGTAAGTACACAATCACAGGAGAAAGAAAAACAGTGGGACTAATAAGTGAAACAGCAGCAACAACAAAGGTAGAGTACTCAAGAGCACTGCTGGTGAATGTTGTTTTTCTTAAAAGATATGTGCACACATTTTGTTACAACTCGTGGTTGCTGAACCAAGAGAAACTTTTTGTGTTTACTGTGAGGTAGTTACAAGATCAAGAATAAGACGGAAGTTTGAGGTAATTTACTAGAGGCAACTAAATCTACCTAGGAGAGGGGACAAAAGCTTACCTTTAGTAAACTGTGGAGAGAGAAGACAACTGTACACTGACTAATGTGATGATGTAATCAGAATGCATCCACCATGGACATATACAATATAGTCCTTTATGTACAAACATACAATAGGAAATACAATCCTTATACAAATTATTGGATGTAAAAATATGACTTTGCTACTTTCTTTTCTTGATTCAGCAAGGCAATACAAAATGTCTGGTAATCTCAATGCATATGCTCTAAGAGAGTATTGTATGTATAAGGTCCAATACAGCTCTTTTCAAGTTTCAGCAGTATTATTACAATGCTGTAGTTCTGAATTCCACTATTTTTAGGGACTAATTTGAACTGTATGGAATATAACATGTAATTTAAACCATTTAAAACAAACAAAACCCTCTTTTGCTGTATATTGAAATAGTTTCAAAATTGGACATTGTACAATAAAAAGCTTCTTGTCCAAACTTTAATTCACTGTCCCATCAGGATCCCTTACTGTTCACATGCTTGTCTGTTATAAACTAATATAACTACTCTCACTGGCATATTTATCTAATATTTTGTTTGCTTCTCATGCCAATGGATAAATTAGGATATACAGTACCACAAGTAGAAATGGGCAGGCAGTAAACATTCCAGAAGTCCACTCCTTTAAAAGGGTAACATTATGAAGAGGAGAACTTTTAGAAGCAGCCAATGCACATTGCAAGATTTCAGTAGGAGTGAAGAGACCCAGAATTTTACAGCACTGCTTTCACATCTTAAGTTCAATACTCCTCTAGCACCAAACACTGAAGAATGTGTGCCAAGGTCCCTTGGCTTGGGTAGCTAAAAGAAATACAAATAAATAATAACCCATAGAAAAAGCACTGTAGATGGATTCACTTATTTTCACATCATCCGCATGAGGTAGGTATTATCCCCATTTTAAAACATGGAGAATCTGAAGCAGAGTTGAACAAAACAGCTCAAGATCACAAAGGATTTACTGTCCATAGAGGTATGAGACTCTTGGCCCTCTGTTTTCACACTCAGACTAACAGATGTTCCTTCAGATCTCAAACAGCAGCTATAAACACTCTGCTCTAAAAAGGGAATAGAACTGAGAAGGGAAGACAGCTGTGATAATCCATGCCAGGAAAAGCTGAGAGAATATCCAGAAAACTAGAATTGCTGACTGTTTTGGAAGCAGGTTGTCATCTGCAGCATAAGATATTCCCCTAAGATTCAGACATATACCATCCCCATGTGTAGAAATTAAGTGTTCAAGAATTTTTTAAGCCCCTCTCTAATTTTCATCTATACAATGGATTTGCAGCCATGTGTATATTTTTAGAACTCACATACATAGCTGGATCGTAACACTTTTTCTGGTTTTTACAAAGACAAAATAAGGATGCCTTAATAAGAAAGAAAAGCTACTACAATCTAAATTCAGGTATGTAAATGTGTGCGTGTGTGTATTACCCCTAAAACATTCAGAATATTGAGAATGCATGGGAATGGGTGTTTATCTCCTTAAAAACATTATCATGTTGAAATGAAACTGCTGCCATGTTGAACTTTTTAAAAATCCAGTTGAACAGTAAAGTGCATTATTCTATCTTGACCCTAAGAGTCAGAAGAAGCATCTTGTACATCATGCACAGGTTGGCATCCTCCGCCTCCACATAAGTTCCATGGTAGAACCATTATGTTTATCTTCTATACCAATACCTAAGTTGAGAAGGTCATGTAAGTTGCAGACACCACTGTAAACCAAGGCATATTTTTAATGGAACATTATACTACTAGTGGCAGATGGGATGAACCAGCATCAAGAAACTGTCCAGTTAGGGTGTGTGAATAATATTGCATGCTGCTTAGCCCACTCAGAAAATACTTTCTTTTCTGTGATAAACCTGTGGCCTCCATAGGGTGCATTTTCATGCAGGAAATACTCATCACATTCATCTCTTCCAGGTTCATAGTAGTGATAAGGAACCTTCCTAAAGCCTTCTGACCTAGAACAAAGATAAAACATGGAAGGCCATGAAATCCATTTTTGTACTACCTAATCCATCATAAATCCATCTGTATGTCTATAAAAGACGCAGTAAAACCTAACGAATTAGAAAAGACTTTCTGGTGCAGTTTATGAGGAGATAGAACCCTGATTTTAACATGAATACATGGATTCTGCTACATTGGTTTTTCCACATCAGCTGTGTTTGTGCCTCCATAGATGGGCAACTATTTCATTGTGGTTCAATAGCAGCTGGGGATTTTGTCATCTCTGTTAAAATAATCATGTGGCTAACCTCTGATCAAGCAAACATATTGCAGAAAAAGCCAGTGCTAATGTAAATTTCCTTGATTGTGACCTGTCCTAAGGATGTTAGTTGAGCTGACATACACTGGAACTACAGGTTTTACCAGTAACTACTGATATAACAAAAGCACTGTTGGCATCACATTTCTAACAGAAAAAAATTAAAGCACACACATTTGACAAAACTCAGCAGATATAATTTGTTGAGTTGGATAAAGTTTTAGACAGGTGAAATTGGACTGGTGGAAGCAGAAGTGCTCACCCCTCCTCCCCATGGCAGGTTTTCCAGCCCCTTAAAATGATATATTGGCAGTCTGGTGACTCTTGCTGAATGGCATGTGCCATATGGGGGTGGAGGGGATCTCCCAAAAGTGGGTGTGGAGGCATCTTCCATGAGTGGGGATCCAGGCCTTATTGCTTAATACTAGACATGGTGGTGCAGTGCTGGTGAGTGAAATGGGGTCATATGTGGACAAAACATGCGTTTCTGCATACTAAGATAATGCTCCAGGTAAAAAGAAAATGCTTCATCTATACATTCAAAGGAAAAAGGAAAGGAAAGAACCACTGCCCAACAAATGATTTTAAAAAGGATTCTTGCTCAGTGAGGGGCACTTGGCTTGGCCTAAAGAGGAGATAAGGATTGGAGGATTTTCTTCACAAGGTTAAAAGGATTCCAGCCCTGTTTCAGAGGATGAGGAAAATGCATATTTTTATGCATACATATGTTCATGCTGCTACATCACAGCAACAAAATATTCAGGTTGGGAGTTGACAGCCAGGTCTGAATGTGAGCAGGGTAGGGAAGAGGCTGCTAATTTCTCTCTCTCTCTCTCCCCCCCCCCCCCTTGCCCTGGTTCCCTGGTCTGGGTCAAAGGCATGGATAAAAGTAGTCTGAGTTTGGCATGCAGAGAGAGAGAGAGAGAGAGAGAGAGAGAGAGAGAGAGAGAGAGAGAGAGAGCGCGAGCGAGCGCACAGTTCCAACCAGAGAGACATTGTTGTGAAGGTTGTAGCAGGCTGGAGCGAGGCAGGGTCTACTTGGAGGAAAGACAGAAAGAGCAGGAAGGTTGCTGGCTGGAGTGAGGCAGGAACAAACTTGAACAAGGCAGGAACAAACTGGAACAAGGTATAGCAAATCAGGGGCCAGAGCAAAAGAAGTCATCAGGACACTTGCACTGCTGTAGCAAAGAGTAGCAGTGAAGGGAAGCCTTTTATGCTGGTCTCCAGCTGCACTGCATAATTGCTCCACAGGCGCTCCTTGCAAGTGCCTGCAAAGGCACTCCTGGTTCTGTGAACACTTGCAGAGTTATTCAGGCCCTGATCCTTACAGCCTCTGCCGAAGAACACTGCCATTCCATGAAGGAAATGGGCTCAGTTGGGCACTGTAAACTGTGATAGTGGCAGGAGCAGGTAGCTTTGTTATTTAGAGTCCAAGGTGACCAACTGGCCCAGGGGTGTCCTGGGGGGAGCTAAGTCTGTGTGAGTCCAGTGAAATTTCTTTGCTCCAGTTCCCTGTTTCTTCCCTACCGTCATCTATTTTTTTTTTATTTATTTAAAGCTTTTTTTATACTGTCCACTACAAGTATCTCAGGACGGTTTTACAATAAAAGCAACACAAAATAAAATAGAGCACAACACCCAACTTCCAGTAAATAAAACCCACCTTAAAACCAATTAAATGTTAAGATAAAGGGGAAATAAAAAGGAATAAAGTGTCAGCGCCAGGCAAACCTCTCTGGGGAGCATATTCCATAATCAGGGTACCACTGCAGAGTAGACCTTTTTTGGGTAGCCACCCTCCTAATCTCCTTCAAGGAGGGCTCCTGGAGAAGGACCTCCACCTCAGATCTCAAGGGGTGGGAGGGCATATAGGGAAGGAGGTGCTCCTTCAGGTATCCAGGACCTAAGTTGTTTAGGGCTTTATAGGTCATCACCAGCATTTTAAATTGGACCTGGACTTCAGTTGGCAGCCAGTGTAAATGGTAGAGGACCATTATATGTGTATATTATAGTGTTTTAAGCCCCTCTATGCAGAGCACAACATAAGAAAGGTGGGGCTAGATGAATCACCAGTTGGAATTAAGATTGCTGGGAGAAATATCAACAACCTCATATATGCATATGATACCACTCTAATAGCAGAAAGTGAAGAGGAACTAAAGAGCCTCTTGATGTGGGTGAAGCAGGAGAACACAAAAGTTGGCTTGAAACTCAACATTAAGAAAACTAAGATCATGGTATCCAGACCTCTCATTTCCTGGCAAATAGATGGGAAAGAAATGGAAGTAGTGACAGATTTTATTTTTCTGGGCTCCAAGATCATCACAGATGGTGACCGCAGCCAAGAAATTAAAAGACACTTGCTCCTTGGGAGGAAAGCTATGGCAAATCCAGACAACATTCTAAAAAGCAGAGACATCACCCTGCCAACAAAAGTGCGTATAGTCAAGGCTATGGTTTTCCCAGTTGCAATGTATGGCTGTGAAGGCTGAGCACCAAAGGACTGAGGTCTTTGAATTGTGGTGCTGGAGGAGACTCCTGTGAGTCCCCTGGACCACAAGGCGATCAAACCGGTCAGTCCTAGAGGAGATCAACCCTGACTGCTCTTTAGAAGGCCAGATACTGAAGATGAAACTCAAATACTTTGGCCACCTAATGAGAAGGAAGGACTCACTGGAGAAGAGCCTAATGCTGGGGACAATAGATGGCAAAAGAAGAAGGGGACTGCAGAGGATGAGGTGGCTAGATGGAGTCACTGAAGCAGTTGGCGTGAGCTTAGGTGGACTCCGGGGGATGGTGGAAGACAGGAAGGCCTGGAGGAATGTTGTCCATGGGGTCGCAATGGTTCGGACACGACTTCACGACAAACAAGAACTCCTGTTTGTTTGTTTTTGTCTTTAAACAAATATTTTTTCCTCAAAGCTTGAGTTGTTGTGTGCTGAATCCAGTAACTGGTCCCAGGATTTGAGGAGGAGGGGAACAGGGTAGGAATTCAACCCTGTCTGCTGTGGGGAGGTGGAAACTCTGGGGTGAATTGTTGTTACACTGGGCACATCCCAATATTTGGTCTGGGTGCATAGTTATTATCTACCACCCTTCACTTTTTCTATAGTATACTCAATGAGAGATTTAAATACATTTTTACCCTTATTCTAGATGAAATATAATTTCAAATAACTATCCTTGGAAAATTGTCCTGGTTTGCCCTAGCATGCTTTTGAAAGGTCTTTACTTACTTTTGACTAGATGTGTTTGAATATTGATTGTGTCCAGTTGAAAACAAGGAGTACAAACTGAAAGTACCGCACATTCCAAACATGTACACTTGCCCTGCACATTCCAACATGCATTATAATATGCATCTGATTTATACCCGTGTTCCTTGATCCAGTAAGTGATGCACACACAAGCCCGTTTTTACAGGCAGGTCTCTTGAGCTGGATCAAGGCATATTTAGTTCATATTATTCCCTGTAGCTTGCTGGATTCTGGGAAAGAATAAATTTGTGCTTCTTACATTGCACAATTTTTTCCAGTATGAGCACTTTAGAAAGCGAACAGGAATGTTTCTTGTTTCTCCAGTTTCATTTTGATTTGGCAGAAAGTCTTTGATTTTAAAAGTTCTTCATGACTTTTGACATTATACTTTTGTAAATGCTTTATTTAATCAATTCCACATGCCATATAGGGGATTAAATACACTTACAATAAAGAGTGACATTGATACAGCCTGCTGAGAGAAGCCTGCCTAATCCATTCCTTGGATTTATGGTACTAAAATGAATTGTGAAATTTTGACAAAGCACCAGAATTCTAGATTCATGAAAATATTTTCCTTTGATCTTACTTGCAGTAGGTGTCATTTATCATCCCATAGACATGTATTTGGTAGCAAGCATCCATAGCCAGAATTAGCGTAAACCAGCCAGTGCTGAGATAGGATCCTGATTGTATTCTGTAAAAGATACAATACACAACAGAACACAATGAGAAATTGTAGCACTTTCTCAAAGATTTATCATCTTTGTGTTAAATGACACAAAGAACATTCAGCATCTTGACAAACTGACAAAACTATTAGTAATTTATTAGTAAGCCTCTCTGTCTGGCATACTCAGGCCCTCTGGGCTAGCCTGCAAAAGAAATGCTATACCTTGGATTGTGAATAACTTGTTCTGCAAGTGTTCCACAAAATGAGCAAACATGTCTAATAATTTTTAACTTGATAAGTGAGTATTTGGAGTCTGCGATAACCTTGCAACCTCTTGCTTGGGAGTAAGATCACTTAGTGTAGCTGGGCTTACTTTTGAGTAAACATGCATAAGACCGGATTATATATTTCTGAAGCCCTGAAATGTAACATCAGGCAATGTAAAAAGTTAATTTACAATAGGGATATGGAACTTCCAGCTTCTGTAGGTTCTGCATCTGGTCTGCACAGCCTCTGTGGTTGCCTCAGGGGATGGAGCTTGGCTTCTAAGCCCCATCCCTTGGAAGAGTTTATGCTGCTATTTTCAAGTTCAAACTGGAGATAACTGCAGGATGCAGGCAGTTAGTGGCACATTTTACTCCCCCTTGTTCACCCATTTGGTACCTCTGGGTATGGAATACATGAAGAAGCCACCAGAAACACACAGGGCTTACCTGTGCATGCTGACTACATACCTCAGCTGAAATTTGATCAGCATCAAGCTAAAGGTGGGCCTTCTATTGACACAGAGTTCCTTCTGTGGGAATGGGAAGCCTGGTCAAACAATGTTCTCCCTGCTTTCAGTATGTGTGGGCACAAAATGATTGAACAGGGATTCTGCACAATTTGGTTGAAAGACAGATTTGATGAATGGCCCAAATTCATCAAAGCATCCTATCTGAATTCTTACTTTTCCTGCTCACCAGTATCTGCTTTATTTACTCTTCTTTGTTTATTCTTCCATCCTATTTATTAGTTTTTATAAAAATATGGATCTACTCTAATAAATATGTATTTATTATTATTATGGACATGCTTTTTGTGATCTCTCATGCATGATCACATCTGCTTAATACCATCAATACAACAGCATTAAGCACCCCCAGAGTGTTTATTGGGTCTGTCTGCTATCATTCTTAATATCAAGTGGTCGCTTATTTTTTTCATGCCCATTATATCTGAGAAGGAAATTCAATACCTGAGTATGGGAACATTTTTTCTGCTCCTGCAAAAAAGCTGTCCCCTGCCATAAACAATGCCAGCAGATAATTATGTCTCTTTTTTCACATTAGTCCTTTTGGGCACTCACTAATACAATTTACAGCCCCTTTAACAATTTCTACCGGCTGCACTCCCCACAGCCACACCCTGTTTGGAAAGTCTGTAGATGGGATCCTGCTGTATGTTCATAAGGGGAACTTCGCAAATATATGAACTTGCCCTCTGCACGTGATCCCCCATCACATGGGCAGTGGAAGACCCTGCTTAGACCCCGACCTCCAAATCTACATGATTGTTAGTGGTGAGCAAATGCTAGAAGGATATCTTCATGGTCCCAGATAGGCAGCTGCTGGCGCCTTTCTCATGGCAATGTCTCTGTTTAAGGATCATGGGTTTCTACACAATGCAATGCAAACACAAGGATGCTCATGTAAACAGGTTGCTCTATGTGCAAAGCAGCCATTATTATTCTTCAAATGGATGGGCTTGTTTATATGTATTCATTTGAATAATAATAGCAATTGCATTTATATCCTTCCTTTTTTCTTCTTGCAAAGAATCCAAGATGTTGTACATGATCCTGCCTACCCCCCATTTTATCCCCATAACAACCCCATGAACTAGGTTAAGCTGGAAATCAGTGACTGGCCTGAAAATCACCCAATGAGATTCATGGACAAGTGGAAACTAGAATCCGGGTCTCTGATCACTGCACCACACTGACAAGGTGGCTTACATTAAAAAAACTGCAACATACAATTTGAATAAGATGCATAATTTAACTTTCCTTCAACACACACAGGGTTGATAGCCTGTATGTCATTGTTGTGTTCCCTATTTAATCCTAGCTCTTAGTATCTGCTTATTTCCTTCTCTTCCTCTGAGACAATTATTATTCCTTAATTCTTTGCTCTTTTCAGATATATGCAGGCTGCAGTTCAACAAACACCAAGAAGTTAGTCCTACTAAACTCCAAGAAAGCATGCAAGGGATTAGGCTATAAATGTCCTTCAGTGTGATTTGAGAACCACTAATAAACCCACATGGAGGCTGAGCTTTTTCCTTACTCCTTGCAAGTGCCAACTTTGTACCGTTCTCTTGGTCCTTTTCTGTATTTATTCCCAGATTTCATCAGCCACTCAGAAAAACAGCATCCAGCTACCTGAAGTACTTACTGCTAAGTACACATTTACTGTGTTCAGCCAGATCCTGGAGAGAGAACCTGGAGAGAGTTATGGTTTGACACAGCCTTATTTAGCTACATTCCCTTTAACCAGCTTCCTGTCTTAGCAGCAGAAACATCCTACCTTTGGCTTTATAAGCTACCAATTTAGGATGATAATAGCCAAGAAAGAGGATTCTTCTGATAGTGGAGGTTTATTGAAAAATACTATATGGACAATAATATCTAAAAACCTCTGTACTTGGCAGCACAGAGGAATTTGGAATAGAATCACCTTTTCATGTCTTGTTTTAGCACCATTGGGCCTTAGTCTTCCCAACAATATACTCCACTGGCAAGATAAATAAAAACAGACAAGTAAGTTCTCAGATACCTTCCCCAGAGATGGGAGGCCTGACTGAATACAGATTCAGTTTAAAGCAAAATTCTACTATCTACTTTTTTCCTTTCCCTCCAAAGATGTTCAGCTAATGAAGAAATTCAACAATGTATGGTTTGTAACACCTTAGAATTCAATTGAATGGTGTAAACATATTTATGAAGGTGGTGTTGGAAGTGTGAAAAACAATTTAAAGTTCCCCAAAACATCATACGCTTCTAAATATCATTGTCAATGTCCTCAAAAACCATTACAGAATGGAGAAGCAATACCTATGCTTCTGTTCTAAGCTGTTATAGCAGCAGCAGCATGTCTGCTTTGGTCAAGTTATTTATCTAAAAGGAAGTCATATCTTCATGAAAATCTGTGTGACATCTACTTGAGGTTCATACCATATAACAAAATGCACATACACCAGTTTTTGTGAAAGTACTCGTTGTCCTCCCCTATTTCTCAGGAAATGGGGCTAGTTTATGGCTCCCCAACAGCCTCTGAAACAGGATAGAGGCAAGAGGCACTGCCCTTTGGTTTTCAGTTTGGGATTAGAGCACACAATTGTCCAAGTATCCTAGATTCCCAGAGTATATGTCCAAGTATTCCCAGATTCCCACAATTGTCCAAGTATTCCCAGATTCCCAAAAACCTGTCTGTATTGAACAAAGAATGATGCAGCTATATATTTAATTGCTCCATGGAAATGAATGGGAATGTACTTGACTTTAGCTGGAATGTGTGCAAAATGCTATGTTGAATGTTTGCAGATGGCAGTACAAGTTTTGGGACATTTCAGATGAGGCTTTTCTTTTGAAAGTGCAGCCTCCAGAGGCACATTTGGTGATGATGTGAAAGAGGATGGTTTCAGTGGTCTCAGACTGAGGTGGCACTGGACTGGCTTCTTCTTGGTTTTCCCTCTGTGGCATGAAAATACTTCTTTATTCAAGTACAATATGGTATGTAAGTGGGTCCATTGCATTGGTTTCTGCTTTTATTCTGTTACTATTGTGGATTTAATTTTGATTTATTCATTTGTTTTGTTATAGTCTTAATTGCATTTTATTTATGATTATAAGTACTTGAGATAAATGTAGAGTACAATGAAATAAGTAAATGCCTCTCACAAAATATCTTTATATCTTCTTCCCCCGCATGTGGTTGCTTGTGGCTGTTTGCAATCACTATGTTGCCTCTCTTTCTGGTTCAGCTCCATAAAGATCATAATTGCATCAAATTACCTCATAGCCAACCAGATTTGCCTTTGGCATGACGTCACTGTGGGTAAATGGAAGTGCATTGCTTACAAGGGAGGTAACTGAAACCATGTGATGGCTTGGCTGCAATGAAACCAGTGTGGTAGAGCAAAGCAAGTCAGGAAGCTTTGTCCTGGTTATTATGACAGTAGGGATTCTTTATTACTCTGTCCTCACCTAATAGGCAAAGAGTTGTACATGGTTTCAAGTCTCCATGTAAAAATTGGCCAAAAGCCAAGATCTTCATGAGTAAGGGATGTTGGTTGCACATCTAACATTATGCATAGTCCAATAAAATAGGATACAGGTACATTTTTCTCCCACTCTCATGATTCTAAAGCCCAGGTTGACTCCAGGAAGATGAATGGTGGACATCTGAGACAGAAAAAAGGATGGACTCCTTCACACTGCATCTAGGCAATGTATGAAGTGATGGCCACCCACCTGGATGGCTTTGAAAGGGGCTGGACAAATCCATGAAGAGATATCAGGTAAGCCTCTACGTGGGACTACCCAGCAAACAAAAAGCAGAACATTGCTTGAAAGTTATTTATATTCCCATTCTTCACAATAGTTTGGTCCAGAATTATGAAAGAGATTCTCTTTTATGAGTCCTGTCAGACAAATCCAGTGACTTGCCAAATCCATCAATGAATTTGTTTAATTGGTTCAATATTTCAAATAATCAGGTCATGTTAGAACATAATGATGTAACAATGAAAATGAACATAATAATGAAGTGGGGTGAGACTCCTTTTTCTTTATATATATTACACAGATTCCAGGTACCCAAGGAGCTGGATGGAAACTACAACAACACACACACACACATACAAGTTTGCTCTGTTTTTAAGCTCTCGGTTTTTAGGGTGTGATTTTCCAAATATGTTTTTATTATTAATTATTGAAAGTCATAATTCAGCAAATAAATGGTGATATTCTATTAGTTTTCAGA